GGCCCCAGGTGTCGAGTTTCAGCAGGGTTGGAGTTATTCCCGCTCACAAAGGGCTTCTCCCAGGGAGCTGTGAGCAGCCGCCACCTCCGTCTCCTGCCCCCAGAGGTGTCTCTGGCTGCTCGCAGTCCTGTGCGCTGGCCAAGACAGCAACATAGCCCTGATTTTTTGGGGACAAAAGCCACTCCAGATTCCCAGCAGCTAGTCCTCATGGTCATGGGCCTGATCCTGCAAGCAGCCGTGCCCACTGGCATCAAGGGGCAGGGAACTTAACTAGACAGGGGTCTTGTCTCATCCCACAGCTCAATGGGAAATGGAGATCTGCCCAGATTGTGCAATTGGCAGCGCTCTGGTTTCTCCAGCGTGCTGGAGTCATCGAGGTGGGACAGAAGATTTCAGAGGAGCATGACGGAGCAAACACAGCTGAACTGGATGGGGAGGAGCAGGGTTACCTTCCAGCTCCAGCACAGCCTCATCCTGCTCTTCTCCCTCCTCATATGGATTCATGCACAGGCTGGACATGCTTTTCCTACCAAGGGAGCAGATGGACACGTGTGAGACGACCCTGCCCAGCACCCATCCCTCTGCCGTGGGGACCCAGATCACCCTGGAGGAACACCCAGGGGTGGGGCTGGCTCAACCCCAGGCGGTCCCTGTGTTACCTGTCCTGGGGTGTGACAGCCACCTTGGTGGGGCTGGCGGCTCCGTGCTGCGGTGCTTGGGAGCAGCTCTCCATGGCACTGCTGGCCCTTGAGGCTTGCTGCTGTGGCTGATTCTGGCCATGGCTCATGTACTTGCTTTTCTTCTTCTTGCCTCGTGGCTGCCATTTCTTCAGTAACACCTCGAAAGAAGAGGGGGCCTGGGGCCGGGAGCACCCACGCCATCAAACATTGTCTGAGCACAGGCTGAGCTTGGAGGGGAATGGGAGGGACCTGGCAGCCCCCATCTGGGGGGCTCTGGGAGGGTCCAGTCCTCCATCTCTGGAAGGTCCCCAGCTCCTGTGCAGGAGTCTACCCCAGGCTGGGCCACACCAGGGTGCTCAGCAGCGGCCAAATCCATCTCCAGGCCAAATCTTTGCTGGTGCTTCATGGGAGAACATACGGACATCCAGCCCCTGGCATGACCCCGCTGCATCCCCGGAGGCTGAGGGTTGTGTGTGGGTGATGGGCGTGAGTTTTGGGGTGCGGGCACACTTCCCAAAAAACTCGTGTGAATGTGTGCAGGGGCCGGTGCTGCCAACCCTCACCTGCGTTGCTTTGTCTGCCTTTGGCACGTCCTTCCGGCACACCGCCTGCCTGGGTGGATACGTCTCAGCCATCAGTATCATGCACCACGGGTCAGCCTCCCTGCAAAGTTGGCACCGTCCTCCATAACCCTCCCATTCCCATGCCACAGCTTTTCTGCCTTGAGGACAAGCAGGGAACATGAGGAGCCCCGAAGTGTGGGCAAATGTGGGCTCCTCCCGTCCAAGGAGGCACCCCCTCACTCACTTGGAGGTCTTGCTGGATGTGGACTTCTTGCTGGACTTGGCACTCCTGCTGGACGTGGAGGTCCTGCTGGGTGAGGACACCCTCCTGGGGGCTGGTGGGGCTCGCGACCAGGCAGATGTGTCCTGACTCT